TCTAGGGAATATATGATATACCAAGAAGATCTTAAAAGAAAGTCTTTGATAAGGGAGTTTCTAGCCTGGAAGTTAAATTATAATTGCTACTAAAACTAAGATGCATTTTAGGTTCTGTGGATATTTGAACTAATATTTTAAAATAATATAAATAGAACACTAGACTGTACCAATCCTAATAAAGAACTTTGATGGAGATGAGCACTGTATATATCTTAGTTCTCATCTATATCGCACTTTATTATTATTAATTTATTTGGCATAAGCAGTTAAAACTATAACATGTTAATGACTAACCTTAATCCTATTTAAATCTGTATATTAAGTCAAGTTCTTTGCAATTTAATCTGTTACATCTAAACTCTTCTTTAGAGTTTTTATATATTTAATTATTACAATTAATTCAATATAAAATTGAGATAAAAAGTTGTATCCCAAGCACTCATCATGAGTGAGCTTAAATTGATGGAAACCCACACAAAATAACAAAAAACCACTCGACACTGCCATAAAATTATATTCTAAAAAATTGTATTTTGTTTGCGCCTTTTCTTTTGCTATAAATATATAGAGAGGTATATACAAAATATATCTGTTATTTAAACTCACATGATTTAATGGGCTTTCTTAAATTTTGCTATTAAATTGCTCCTCTCTCTTTTTTAATTTTATTATTTGCGTTTTTGGCAGCTATTGTATTGCCACGGTTGATGTGTTTTTGTTTGCATTGTAAATTATGAAGTAGCCTCCAGTAATGGCCCTCAAAAATTCACACTTTCTTTTGACTTTTGTATAGATGCATATTATTTTTAGAACATGTTTCGGATAAATAAAGCGACGATTGCAAAACCAAACAAATGGAGATACGTAAACAATGCAAAAATATTTATGTATATATATATATGAATAAAAAAGAGAAAGAAAACATTGTTTAAGCGCTTTTTAGTTTGGAAGATGGCAATGAGAAAAGTATTTGGCCATGAAAATGAACCAAGTGCAAATGAGTTATCTTTTGGCCATGTTCATCTCAAGTAGATCGTGTATAAGAAAAATTCAAGTACAAAGAAATCAAGCAAAGAAAAATATGTAATCAAATCACCAATGATTATGAAACTCTTTATAGGTAATGACATCAATTGATGGGATCATCTTTAATTCGATTTTTATAATCTAACCTTATCAAGGAAAGTAATAAATAATGAACGATTTATGCCCTAAACCTATTTTGTGGGATGACAACATCACCTATACCGGATGATTATACTCCATTTATATATATATATCTCTTATCGGTTTTATCAAATCGAAGTCTCCCCTTCATCGATGAGGTTAAAATACAGTTTTTGGAAGGTGACATCAGACCCTGATTGGCTCATCCGTTTGCCTTTATCGACCATTAGACCATTATCTGGCAATCAAAAGCCCACAATTCTGTTCTGGTCTTTATAGGGTTTCATCTATCTAAACTTGGCCAACTGATTGCAGTTAGTTTCGCGATCTGCATTTGTTGGGTTTTCAGATATTTTTAAACGATTAGCTCACTCGTCTGGCTCGGATCGGGGGGTTTATTATTCGTTATTCGATATTTATGTATGTTTGGCTCTGGATGTGTTTACAGCAAAAGCACGGGTGTTGGTTTGGCTTTCGATTAATTGTTTATAGCACGTTTCTCAATTATGTCGAATGAATAATTAATGCGCACATTTGCTTAGCCTATTAATGCATTTCCCACCACATTTATTATTATTTATTTGCCAACGTGCCGCAGTTCCGCAATGGAAGCGGTCGAATTGGGTGTGCAGGTGATTTTCTTAATTAACTTCTCCCGATTATAAACCTGAAGCTGTGACGGCTGATGACTCGACTAACTTATGACAAGTTAATTCGCATATTTAAAATAGCTAAATACTTAGCTCTAAAGTAATTAGGATAATATTTATAGTATTAAGGGTCTTCCCCCTACATTTTCCCATTAATTCTCTATGAATAAAACCATAATCAAGTGAATATTCCTAGGATGAAGATTTACCCAGCAAAATGATTATATTATCATCCGGATATTCCGAATGAAGGGTCTAGTTAATCTTAAAGCAATTCTAAAAATATAAACAATATCATTTCATACTATAACTTGGATTTCCATGCATTTCGGATAAGCCCGAGACTAAAAATACTTGGAATTGGCATTCTAATAGAGAGTTTTAATAAATTAATTAAGCGTGATTGCACTATTCCATAATCGAGTTAAATATATAGCATAATATCACGAAGCAAAAAGGCACACAATATGATAAATGCGGAATCAACAAAGCAATAAAGGGGCAAGACATCAAAACAAATAATAAAATAATGCTGGCTACTCTACTACAATAAAAAAAAATATATAATAATAATTGACAAAAGAATGCGGCTACTAAATTGAAGTGCCTTTGATAAACTCATCATCATCAATGCTTGATTTATGGTTGCAACCAATGAACGCACATCCAGCGGCACTTGTGGCAACAATTAAATTAAGGCGAAATGAAAAAGAAAAACAGAAAGGCGAACGCAACCAACTCTTAATTAATTAAACTCTGTGATTTATGAGGGCAAATTAGTTGACGCTTTTCTACGTCTTCTAGCCAAGTTTATAGCTTATATCTTATAGTTTATATCCCTTTCGTTTCCAGTGCAATGCTCTGAAAATCACCAACACGTGCCGCCCAGCATTACAAACAGAGTGTGTCACGAAGAAGGTCAGTAGACAATAGATCATGGCTAAAATTAATTTTCAGCCATATATAACATCATCGGCCACGAAGATGGTGGGAAGCAAATGGCCGAAATCAAGAGCCATATAGCCAAAGATCTAATGAATTGAACTTTGTTCATACCCCGCAGATACAAAGATACATAGATACATTTATGGAGGGATTGGGTGTGGTTATTATTATTATTATTAATTTTATTTTATTTTATTATTAAACTTGAGAGATTCCTCTATATATTAGATTTTAATCTATTAAATGTGTTTCCATAGGTGATAATGATACCTGAACACCAAGTCAAGTTTCAGGTATCAAAACTTTCTGTTCTATAGTTAATTTCTCTCTATTATAGGTCACCAAATATTCGTTATTTTTACTGTACATTGCCTGGAGGCAATGCGCTCAATAAATATGTTATAAAAGTGACAATTTGCTGGCTTATTTATGACTTTATTATATGCAAATTGAGACAAATGTTCAATCTACAGCGTGTACTCGATAGCCACAATCGCACTCGATACTCGATGCTTGCTTTCTTGTGAGTTCGTGTTTACAGCTCCGCTTGACATTTTAATGCTTTGTTATTATTTTGAGTTTCAATTCCAATTGACAAAAGAGGGGGACGGGGAAAAAAAACAAAGCAAACATCAAAAATAAATGCAATACACGCGCTTCTCTAAATGAAAAAGAAAAACATCACACAAAGATCAAGTTCATTGAATTTTCACACAGTGACAAAGTGTATTGTCAGTCGGGGAGCGTTGGCAAATTCATTTAATTGAATATTTTTACGTACATATTCTGTTTTTCTGTATTTCTGTGCGATATAAATATATATTTCAGTTTTAAAATAACGATGACAAAATCTCTCAAGAACGAATCCCGCCAAACGGAACGGATTGCAGTTCTCTGGGCGGTTGGGCGTGGGCGTGGCAGATCGTGACGCCCAACAGATAAATCTCTGTGCCAAACAGCATATTGAACTTATCGGCTATAATTGCTCAAATGATTATGACAAATAAAGTGAATAACCCTGAAGGCATTCATCCAAATCTGGTTCTTAATTTGATTAATGCAAAACGGAGGCACTTGAAGTGCATTAACCCAAGTCGTAAAAGTATAGTGAACTTAATTATTTGAGTACAAGAAAAAGGGGAAATTCCTATGCTCAACATTTCCTATAAACAATTCATTAATTCAGCCGAAGAACCCAATAAATATTTATGCGAATGTCCATCTGGAATTTGTATCTGAGGTGACCTTGTTGGTTACCTGCAGGGAGCTTGACCCTCCCAATTGACAACCAACATGGATGAGAATGATGAATGGTCAACTATAAAACACTCTTATTTGTATCCTTGACTTGCCTTTTTATATAAATATTTGGATAAAGTATTTCTTAAAGTGAACGAAAGATTTCAAAGATTGATTCGTATAAGAATCAAAAGATTTATGTATAAACAATGGAAAGATATTTAATCCTACTAAGGAAATGTGAAATTAGCATAGATATGTTTGTAACATGTTTGTATTGATGGTTTTTAGGCACATTTGAAACGTAATTTCTTGGCCAAATCTTACTTAAAATTAACTAACTAACATCAAAAGATGATATGTAATTAGTTTCATGTAAAAAAAGATACCTAAGAAAGTTTTACCATGCGAATAAGTAACTTTTCTCCATACTTTGTGGACACTATAAAGAGTTCCTTGAAAATTATAAGCATATAAGTATCTATAAACAATGGAAAGATATTTAATTCATTAAAAAAGTTAGCATATATTTAAGTTTTAACTATTATACATAATTTTTAAAAAACTTTCTTTACTCCAAAACAAATATAAAACTAACTAACTAGTATTTAATTAATATTTGCCAAGTTTCATGCCAAAAAGGTGCCTAAGACACGTGCTATATAACTCTATAATAAATTCCTATAATAAGTTCCTTGAAAAGTATCTTTACAATTTTAAACTATCTATAAGAACTAACTAGTATCAAACCTGATATTTATCAAGTTTCAAGGGAAAAAGATGCTTATTCAACACCTTATCTAGAAATAGATAATATTTTTGTGGACACTATAATAAGTTCCTTTAAAAGTATCTTCAAACTATCTAAAGAGTGCTCTCCACATATTTCCCCCCTTAGTGGTTTTTTCTCCATTGTGTTAGTAAATATATCCGCAACCAAAACATGTATTAATAAAAACACAAATAAAAAAGAGAAATCGAAACAAAAAAACATACCCAAAAAATAGTTGCGTTATCTGTGCGGGCGTCTGGCAGACATTGTGAACGTTGAGGGTGCGAGGGCGGGCATATAACATTCCGGCGTGGGTGAGCGGGGGCGGAAGACCCGCCTGAGCCAGGATCGCCGATGTCGAGTTGCTCCTGATGGTGGCATAGGCACGGATGTGCGAACTGGTCGAAGAGCGGAGCTCCACCGAGGTGGTGGTGGTCGTGGTCTCCTCCTCAACTTCATCAACAATCTCCTTGGGATGCTGCTCCTCCAGTACCTCTGAATCCTTGTCCATTGGCATTTGTGGTGGCATTTTGTTAGATTTTTGATTTCCAGAACGTAATTTGATGCTATTATTATTGCCACTCAGTTTCTTGGCTCGCTTAATGTTGATGTTACTGGTCGAAGAGTTATTATTGTTGGTATTCGGATTGGTAGTTGTGGCATTTGTTGTGGCATAACGATGTTGCAAGCGCATTTTGTATATCAACAAATTTTCTAAGCCAAATGTCAAAGTTCAATCTTCAAGCTTCCGTTGTTTTTTTCTGTTCGCATTTAGCATTTGCATTGCATTTAGCATAAATTGTCCATTTTGTTCCGTGCGATCTCTCTGCGACGCCACTTTCACTTTCAACTGAAGAATTTATGGGAAAATAAACAATGTTCAAAAACAAAACTCATACATATAAAAACATGGGTGGGTAAAACAATAAATATAATTCAAATGCAGCAAACAGTGTGTGTGTTTAAGTGTCTTGGCTAAATAAATCTGCAAATTTTATTTCCCACTTTTATGTTGTTTAGCACTTGGTGTTTTTATTTTTAATATTTTTTTCTCTTCGTTTCGTGTGGGTGCCTTTGGCAAATATATATTTATGCATAAATATACATCTTCTGCACAAATTAAATTGATTTCTTTTGAGGCGGCGAACTAGAGTGTGTGTATACGCGTTTGTTTTATAAATTTAGAAATGATTTTATACACCAAACGGAAGTCGGGGCGCAGCAAAAATACAATATTCGTAAATACTATATATGTATATGTGAAGAGAACTCACAAAGAGACACTCGCACAGGCCCAACCTCACACACACAAGCACACTCGCACACACACTCACGACGACTCTTATGCACGCGGCCCACGAGGCGTATACGCAACGTTGTGAACGCGTCGAATGAAGGCAAGCGAATGAGTCGCAAAATGCGACGATGTCCACAGAAGTACTACGACGAGCAGCGATCGTAAGAGAGAGAATCGCTTAGAGATAAAGAGAATAAGCAGAGAGAAGCTCACTCTCGCTCTCTCTCTGCCGCTCTCTTGCCATAGCACACGTTCAAAACAAACATTTTTGGAAAGACAACAACAAAAGCAATAATAAATGTAGGAGGAAGCAGAGCGCGTGGGCCAAAACTCTCCATTTGTTTAAACAATAATTTCTGTTGACCAGCTAACGAATTAATTCACACCGCACATTAAGTGAATTAAATCAATTTTTTTTTCGGTAAATTCACACACCAATAGAGTACAGAAAATATTAAAATTATTGATATCATTAGAGCTTAAGTTCTCGTGAGCGATTATAATTAAATTAGACATATTTGGGCAACGTACGGTTAAAATATATTTAAATATATCTATATATTTTACTGCTGAGAAATAATGATTTCAAATATAAAAAATAATAATTTATGGATAATTTTCTTATGAAAATGAAGCTTTTGATTAAATCAAAGTAATGGAAAAGTTTACTAACTATTTAACTTATTAATTGCATTTAGTAAAATTTATTATTTCTTTTTAATTTTGATTAATAAAATATAATTACTCACTGTGTATTTATGAATTATAGTTCTTTCCCCTTTTATACCCTAGAGTATATATATTTTATCAACCTTTATTCGAACCATAAACATTCATCTATTGATTCCCATTGTTTTTGGCACTAAGGCTTTCTCTTTTGGTTTTGTTTGTTTTAATGTTTTCATCATTGACTTTCTATAAGTTTTCCAATCAAATGGCAAATCAAACGAAAGTCAATCGAATTGTACAGTGAGTCATATGAGTATAAGTACAAGTTTTAGTTTTAAGCGTTTTTCTATTTTTTTAATTCAATTAACTAAACAATTACCTACTACAAATCCCTTTTTCATGATTTCCCCTTTAATGTTTTCACGATTCATTGACTGTCTAAAGCTATACATTTATTAAACGGACTGTGTCTTTAATACCACATTTGTGAGCTGCTACCAATTACTAATTATTGCGATTACTCACAGCCACAAGCAAAAATGCGAATTTAGATTGTAGTTGACCAAGTAACCTTGTGACTAATGGCGGGACTCCCTTTTGGCTTTCATAAAGGTCTCAGGCATTTTTACCTGATCCTCTTACCAGGTAAGTTGCTATTTCCGAAGCGCTGTCAACAGCTGTTGGTGGGCGGTCTGAAGACGATTTGCCAAATATATGACTATATATATTCATAAACACATATATATATATATATATATATATTTATATATAAACAACAGCAGCATAGCTATAGAAATTTGGCTATATCTGCCGGCCGAATATTTATTGATGCCGCTTGAAATGGGATTATGAGCGCGTGTAGGTGAACAAAATATCCACAAAAATATAAATATGCTATATATATATAGGTATATATTTATTTTCTAAAAAAAAAAATTAAAGTCCGTTTAGACAAAATAAAAAGAGGGCGTTGCTACAAATTATAATGTATGTCAGGGTTTGCTCTTGGCACTTGTTTCGCTTTTGCCGCGAATGCGAAAGTTCAAAAAGATTTGCGCACATGTCCAAGACGTTGGTTTTTTGTTTTTATTTTTATTTTATTTTGTTTCTATTATTTTCCGCTATTGTTGTTGTTGTTTTGGCCAAAAATACTCAAAATGTGCACGGCACCAGTGGTGGAGATGCTGTCATAGACGCGCCTTTTATGAGCATTTTGCGATGATGATGCCATAAGCGACTTGTGGGTTGCCGGGTTATCTTGGGTTATATGGTGGTCATAAATCCATCTAAGCCTAATTAATTGCTTTGCCACGGTTTGGCATTGGAACAAGGTGAAAACATTGCATTCGATTTCATTTTTGGCGGTTCCGGATAATCCCGGATAAACACAATACTTTGAGATAGAGATAGTATACAAAAATAAACAAAACAAAACAAAAATATAAACAACTTTGTTTTTGTGTTGTGTCTTGAGATAAATACAATTAGAGATAAACTAGAAAAGTTTACATTGACGTTTAAGGGTAAAAGTTGATAATATTTATACTAAAAGTCAGATAATTCAAGTTGCTACAGTTTACTTTATGTAATAATTTTAATTTGAATTCACATGAGATAAGATCACTTTTGTCAAGTCAAGTTTAAGATAAAAAAATGTCAGATAAATATAAATAAAATATATAAACTGCAAATTGTAAAAGCAGCTAAAACACAGAAATGCTTTTCAGTTAACATTTGTTTTTTAAAAGACTTGAACATAAAAAGATAATGACAAGTTTGTTTCCTTGGTAGAAGTCTAAATAATTTGAATTTATGGATATTATTATAAATTATGTGAAAAGTATATATAGTTTGAAAATATGAAAACACATAACATAGTTTTGAGTTATAAACTGTGACTTACAATGTATGACTTTAAGGAAGACTGAAATAATAATAACTTGCAACAATTTCAATCAATTTAAATAATTAATCAAGACACAAATTTGTATATCCTGAGATATATTAGGTAAGTAATTAATTAATTCGATTATTCATTAAACTCTTGCCCTACTTTTCAGATACTGAATAGTAAATAAAAACTATAGAATCCACCACACGGGGGGAACAAAAATCGTCTTGGGTCGACTTGATTGACAAATGATTGTCAGTTGATTGACAAATTGGTTGAAGGTGTGCGACTTGCTAGGTGCTTCTCACCTTCTGGGGTCTGGGGTACACTCGTAAAGCTCTTTTATTTCCAATTCCCACTGCTGATAAGCTGGGAATCGATTACTATTCGAGGCGCTAACATACGGACAACAATTCAATCAAGTATCAAGAATCATGCCTAGATAAGTAAATGGTTGGATAACAAAAGCCAACAGATAATGCGAATTACAAATACATATAGGGTCGGACCTCTCTTGGTATTCGTATTATTTGCTTAGAGTCAAAAAATAAAAATAAAAAATTAAAGTTTATCGCACGCAAACAAAAACGACCTTCAGTAATGGATGCCTTCGTATTTACTTAGCCACATTTAATGTCGCCTCGATCACTTATTGCCATTTTTGGCACTTAAATTTTTGTATATTTATAAAAGCACTTCCGCTCTGCTTTTCCTGGTGGTAATATGTAAGTACTAAAATCATTATTAAGTCATTTTACTCGATTGTTTACATATCAACAGAATTGAGAGAGTTTAAAAGAAAAAGAGAACTCGAGGCTTTTTTTTGCTTCGCTCTTTGTGTAAGCATTTTCTCAAAGTTCATTGAGGAAAGGCATAACCGTTCTCGTAATACCCTACAAAATGTGTGAATTATAATAACAATAAAATAAATAAAACATTATATTTGACGAAAAAATGTATTTAAATCTATATCTATATATTTATTTAAATAAATCGATATTGAAATATTAATTTAAATAAATCTAAATATATCCCAGCGATCCTAAACAAATGTATTCCATATTTTAAGACACCTATTTAAGGAATTATGCAACCTCAGTGTTTTTTTAGCATCCACTATAAATATACTTTTTGCTTTCAATCTTCTATTATATTAAATTAAAAATGTTTAACATATTGCCCTTCTAATATACCTAAACTTTTAATAGGAATTAAGAACAAAGAAACCCTGCAGTTGCTGCAATTGAAATTAAAATATTTGCATTTTAAAAGCCCACAACAATGGCCTGTATATCATTTTCGAATGACAACAAAAATATTTATTTTACGTGTAAACATTGCTTGTTTTTCGCGGTTTATTAATTTGTTTGTCATTGCCTTTGTTGTTGTTCTTATTTGCTGGTATTTGTTATTGCTACAAAACGTATCAAAATGTTACATCTTTGTGCGGTTTTTATTTCCGCCTTCAATGCAATTGAGTGCATAAACTTAATTATTATCAAAACTGCACAACAACAACAATGATTGAGTGGAATATAGAAAAGTGCAATGAATAAGTGAAAAAACTGATAGAGGCACAGGAGCGGATGAAGGATATCAGCAAAATAACGATACTAAAAGTATGCTATAGTTTTACAGTTATTACTTTCGATTCGTAATCAATTTAAATGGTGGAAATATTTTTAATCGATTTTAAATCTATTTTAGGAATTTCGGAACTAAGCATTTACTAAGAACTTATACATTAATATTTTGATAGGTCAAATCTCTCAACTGCCAATAAAAATGGTAATTAAAGTTCAAGGACATTCCGCTGACTTAACGCTTCATAAACAATTATGTTTATTTCGCAATACTTCAATAGAAATCTTTAAAAAAAATCACATAAACTTTGCTCTTTTGTTTACCTCTTTGGGGGAAGCGAGGTCAA